TCCGATTACTCTTACATAAACGTGTCCCGAGAGATTCAATTATGAGTAACCCAAATGAGGGAAATAATTGAACCGAATACCTTCCTGATCCATATATACTGAGCCTGCTAAGCAGACGATCCGAGCCATTAAATCAAATTTCAACGGCCCGGATCGCCTATTTAGCAGGCTCAGTTAACGGGACCCTACAGAAATCAAAAGCATCATATTATCCACAGATCTATACGAAATCATTTTCTCCTAAAAATAATAATAAATCCAACGCAGTCTTGTCATATGCATCCCCTTTGGCAGCGGATTTAATTTTGGTACTTTACTTCTCTGCAGCACAGAGTTGGTGAGAGCCCACCAAATCAGTCAAACTGAATAAATTATGGAACCACCATGGCTAGTTAGGTCATGACCAATTCCAAATATTAATTAAGTCATCCAAAATGATACAAAGACCTATTCAGAGATCATGTGACATCAATGGGGAGAAACTTTCTTGACACCAACCATTCTAATGGCATTGAGTATTCAATAGACGTTTTGATACTTGTTTTAAAAAACGTGAATGGTCCTTCCAATGGATGCATGCCGAGTGGTGAATTGATAACAAAAAAAATCTCTCCTAAAAAAGGACATGCAAATAAAGCATCTATAATAACCCATCAAAGTAAAAATAATTAACCAACTTGCTACAATATTGAAACATGGAGGCCCCTAAGATTTCTCATTTCCTTCTTCTATGTGCAATCTGCCCAAATTTTGTTGTGCTTTTGAGTGCCTTTCCATGTTTTGCTTTCACTTCATTTGTGTTTGGAGATTCTCTAGTGGACGCAGGAAACAATGACTACATTTTCACACTCTCAAAGGCTGATTCTCCTCCTTATGGAATAGATTTCAAGCCTTCTGGTGGTCAACCAACTGGTCGATTCACAAATGGTCGAACCGTATCGGACATTGTAGGTAAATGCACTAAATGTTTATTAATCCCACCAACTTAGCCTCACTTGGTATAACTACTCATTTAAAAGGGTTTTGAAGTTGGAGGTATGGCTACTAGTTTTAGAAATTTCAGTTTTGGTAGTAATATTTCCACAGCTAATTGGTTTTTGTAGCTTTCATACTGTTCACTTATAGCTTAGTTGCTAATTGCCCGCCAACCAAATTTCGGTCATTTAATATAGCGCGGATGATCTTTTGGTTCAGTATCATCGATCAGTCTATTTTATAAATGAAGTTCTGAGTGCAAATTTTATATACGAAGTTGTCGTTTTGATGATCAACTCAACGAGTTTTAATAGTCATCTCTTAAGCCAATAAGACAAAACACTCAGAAGATTAAGTGGAGTTTAATCATACTGCATGAGTTTTAAATTGGGTCACATGAGTTTTTGCTATTTATTTCAGTGAGTCACGTGATAATGCAGAAGCCATTGTTTACAAGGTTTATTTTTACAGGGCCCAGAAGTTTATTTAAATTGACTTTTAAATTGATGTTTGTTGACTATCAATTCATAATTAGTTAACCATTTTTAACACTAACTGTAGCTTAATTTGCATGGTGCCATCAGGTCAAGCTCTTGGTGCTAAGTCATTTCCTCCACCTTATCTAGCCCCAAACACTCGAGCAAACTCAGTCCTCAAAGGAATTAATTATGCTTCTGGAGCCTCAGGAATATTGGATGAAACAGGAGTTTTGTTTGTAAGTAATACTTAATTAGCACTAATCACAATATATACAATTTTTTTAAAAATATTCTGAAGTTGTTGTATACAGATTGGAAGAGTCCCACTGCGCGAGCAAGTGAATAATTTTGAGGAAAGCAGATATGACATGGTGAAAATAATGGGAGAGAATAAAACAAAGGAATTCTTAAAGAAGGCAATCTTCTCGGTGACAATTGGATCCAATGATGTTCTCAACTATTTCCAACCGACCATACCATTTTTTGGTGATGACAAGGTCTCTCCTTCCATGTTCCAAGATTTCATGGTCTCTAACTTGACCATACAGCTTAAGGTACAGTCTAAAACCAATCACCTAATTGAAATGTTGAAGAATACAGCAATCACATATCAGATTATTGACAAATTTAAATATGAATTGTATTGAGTTGTTCAACTTTTAGTGACACCAAGATTTTTTGTGATTAACCACTACACATGTCATATAACGTAAATTTAGAGAGTCACTGTCCGTCTCTCTAATATAATGGCAAAGGCTTAATAAACTACCCTAATTAACCTTAATATTTTGATTTGTGAAGCGACTGCACGAGCTGGGAGCTAGAAAGTTCGTTGTGGTAGGGGTTGGACCCATAGGATGCATACCATTTATTCGTGCCATCCATTTGTTACCAAGTGGACAGTGTTTTGCTGAGGTGAATGAATTAATCCAAGGCTACAACACGAAGCTTAATGGAGTTTTGGATCAAATTAACCAAGAGCTGGGTCCTGAAGCGATCTTTGTCTATGCAAACTCCTTTGATATCTTCACGAAGATCATAGTAAATTATCATCAATATGGTAGGTTGGTAACTAGGGTTTTAAAAGTAGACATACCCTTCCATTCGTTTTTAGTATATGATCAAGGTCATTGATCTATTTTTCTTTTGGTTTTTGAATCTGATATTGCTAGGGTTTGCGAATGCAAATGGACCATGCTGTGGAGGTTACTTTCCGCCGTTTGTTTGCTTTAAGAGCCGCGATGCAAGCAGAAGCTCTGCATTGTGTGACGATCGATCGAAGTACGTGTTTTGGGATGCATATCATCCTACAGAAGCTGCTAATATGATCATAGCAGAGGGGTTACTTGATGGAGATAAAAGTATTAGCTCTCCCATTAACATCCGTGAGCTCTACAACTATAACTCCTAGTGTGAGACATAGTGAAACTGGCCTACTGCAAAATTGTATTAAAAGATTGTAATGTAGGTAGTGAATTGAAGTAAAATATTTATGGATGATCCTATTGTTCAATCATTGAATGAGTATTGTTCAAACATTGCGTTAAAATAACAATGTATATGACTAATGTGGTGGTCACACCACTGGAATTAATTCATGTCTTAAAATATAAGGAAACTATAATGTCAAAATTCATAAAATGAGGTGTAGATACACGCATTAAAACATGAATGATTGTGTTAAAGGAAGTTAAGATTCCACTATATAATACCAAGTAGTCAAACTCCTTATAAGCACATTCAAAGTCTCATACTTCTCTGATGTGAGATTCACTCTCAACACACCTCTCACATGTTGAGCCATTTAAACCCGAACACACAACACATTTTAAGTGATGTTAAACTTATTAACATGCTCTGATACCATAAAAGAAGTTGAAATTTCACTCTATACATACCTAAATAATACTTTGTAATAGTATGACAATGACACTAAAAACTTCTACCTTAGATAAATTCAATATAAAGAAAAGAAGAAGGCTAGTGAAGTACCTCACCAGAACTTTAAAGGTTGTAGAAAAACAGAAGACGAAAGAATAAGCATCATTTCAAATTGAAAGCCTTCATTTACAAATGTCAACGTTAGCATCAGTTTTTCCGATGCATAAATGAAATCCAAAGAAGTTGACCCTCTCTCCCTGAGACTAATTTTGAGGAATAAAATTAAAAATAATCAGCTTTTCTCTGTAACATCTTCCCTAATATCTTCCCTAATATTATATTCATCTTCATCAACGAGAGTTTTTCTTACACCAAAACTACTTCTAAAAAATATGACAGGCCATATATGCCATTACAGTCTAATTCTGTTTCCCCAAGTACCATCGTCCATCAAATCGTACATAAATGAAAACTAACTAGTCAAACTGCAGGGCCCTGCATGCAGACCTTTGGCTTTCACCTGTAGTAATGGAGCTCACTGAGATTCCAAAACCAAACTGCAACACAGAAATCAGTGTTTATATATATTATAATACACTGGTTTATCCTTCCCAATGTTTTGAGATAATATGAAAATCAAGATAATTTCCCCATGTTTATTGTTGGGTAAATATTATTCTTAAGGAAAATTAACAAAAAATCTAAAAAAACTTTAGTTTTAATTAAAGATGATAAATAAAGGTGTAGTAAATAGTACAAAGGAAAGGTAAAAATATGGTTTTTCGTTAAAAGTTAACAGTACCAAAAGTGTTTCGTTAAAACTTCATCATGTTTATGCATTAAGAAAACGTTGACTTTTATATAAATTGAAGGATTTGGATCCCATCCGGATCCAAGTTGTGGGGATCCTAGAGATCCTCATATCCTAACTGTTTATCGTACATCGTGCGATCAGATATCATTTAAAATTTATTTATTTAAAATTAAACACAATAGTATATAACAAAAATTGACAGCGCGGTATTTAATGAACGACTATGATGTAAGGATCTCTAAGATCCCCACAAAGAGGATCCGGAGAGGATCCTCATCTGGCAAAGGGTGTGTAAGGTGTTGGGTATTATGAGATGCCAGTTTCGGGTGCAGTTTATGTAGGTTGTTCGACAAATAAAATTTCATTAGCTTTGGTTGTAGGTTGGGAACTTATATATGAACCTAAAGTTAAAGATTACGAATGTGCCACTACTAGTTTCCGCTAGTAAATGGTGTGTCTGTGATGAAATTGCGCTATTTAACTTCTAACCAAAAGATTATGATATTGAGTGGAACAGGCTTAACTCAGTATTTTTTTTTTATATATTCAATTGAAATGCTTCATAAGTAAAATAGTTGAACATAAACAAAAACAAAAAACTTCTTGCTCCAAAGAAAATATGTATAAACTGAATTGGAAATTTACAAATAAGTAAATACATTATATATACTAAAACTCAGTTGAGTTTTAACACTGTTCAGCTATAGTAAAAGGGCAGAAATGCCCTTGGGTTTTTTGTTTCCTTAGCCGTTTAGCTGCTGCTTTGCACAGTTAAATATCTGTTATACCCCTTATTGCCATGCATTGATCATCCTTTGTTTGTGTGGTTCGATTCCGTCACTTCTAGCCCACGCATCCATCATCGATGGCCTTTCAGTTCGACTTCTTCTCGATTTCGCTTCTCTCTCGCCATTCTCACCTTTTGGGTATTTTGGAACCTAGGTTTTTTTTCTCTCCCGCATCGCTATTTTACTTGTTGTTTAGTGTTGCCATCATTCTCCAGATCGGCAGGCCGATAGAACCCGGCGAGGTCAGCATGTGCTTCTATGGAATTACCGCCCGTGATCTCAGCCATGCTCGCGCCGCCGTCAATTTCGTTGTTCTGTTCAGGTTCGCACATTCAATCTCATTATTTGCATGTTGATTTTAATATTCATGCAATTAATTGTGCTTTGGATTAGTGTGGAAGTTGATATGTTTGATTTTATGCATGTACTTTATTTTTTCTGTTTTCTGTTAGAAATTAATTTACTTTTCCTTGGAAATCGTTGAGCTGCTAGAAGTTTTTGCCCTTTTTCTTAATTGATCGAAATCCATTTCTTACCCACATAACCTAGAGTCCCCTGCTGAGTTTTTCTTCTTTCTCAGTGTGTCTTATTTAATTTTTTTTTTTTTTGTTGTTTTCGATTTATAGATGGATTTTGTATTTAAATTTCTTTTTATAATCTTGGGGGTTTTGTTTGTGTGCTCGGATGCTGTGTGTGGCTGTCTGATTTATTTCTTTTTTTTGCTTTCAGGAAACTCTGGTGTTCTTATTTAGGGGTTTTGCTGAAGGTATATAATTTGTTGAAATATTTAGTTTTTAATATATTAACAATTTTGTTGGGTCAGTTTTGTGTTAGTTTTGTTACTAACTGTTTTTTATTTCTTGTTTTTTTGCTTTCGATCTCCTTCTATTTGAGTGGTATACTGGTATACAATTTATTGTCCTAAATTCACAATCTTATTGTCCTAAATTCATAATCTTACACTTCACGGATTTCACCACTCAACATATACTCAGGTAATCAGTTCGAAGTTGGACTATTTTAACCCTTTCAGTTTTTAGACTCTATAGTGTTAAATCCAGTGTTTTATTTTGATTCTACATTCATTTTGATTTTACTTTTGACTTTCTGACACACCCCGATCCTAGAATCAAGACGTGCTGGCCGTCACATGAGCGTGATGTAACCAAAAGTACGACGTGGAAGCAGTAGATAAGAGAAATACGAAGAAATAAAAACTAAATACTAGCAATAATATCCAACTAGCATGCTAGAGTAAGTTTAAGTGTGAAACACACATATTCAGAGCATAAGAACTAGGTGCAGTCAAGTAGGAACATTACTAAATTACAACACCCGAAGGTGAGTCCTACATGAGTAGTCTGTCAGAATGCCGTGGGAATCCTCGTGGGCCACCAACGCTGCTAACTAGAACCTGGAGGGGCGCAAAACAAAATTGAGTGGGTCAGTAAAACAAAGCCTTTTGAAAACATTTCTAACCCCTCGCTATAAAACCTGTATACTTTCCCAGAAAATAACATAATATGCATATAATCTTCATATATATCTCAAATCACAATTCTTTATCAAAAATCAGAAAGTATGCCATGCGAAAATGTCAATAACAGAATAAGGATGCATCAATATAACAGGTGAAATAATGAATCAACCGGAGACCCTGCAGTTAGTCCTTTACGGTTAATTCTAAAACTCAATATCCAATCCAACCGGAGTCACCGCAGTGACCTGTACGGCGCTACTCTGCACATAAATCGGAACTACCTGAAGTAGTCTGTACGATAAGAAAGGTGTAAGAATACACTCTAGTGCTTCTCACATCAACAGTTGTATAATAATCTAAAATCACCTACAGTCGGAACCACTCTATGGTCTGTACGACACGTCGAAACCCTCTTATGGTCTGTACGACATGCACCTACTTGGATCCAAGGTGAGTGTGTGGTGCGGGGTGAATAATATAAGCACTAACACCAAAGGTGCAGGTTATGAGCTCTCAACACAATTCACATCATCAATAGTTCACATGAATAACATAAACTCACCTGCTACTCACATGTGCGTCCACAGCACCATTTCACATATATATGCATCAATTACTAATTCATATAATTCATAATATGCATGCATGGCATTTTAAAACATACTTTCATTTAAATTCAATTTCTGGGAAATTCAGTAGTATATAGGTAATAACAGAAAATAACTGCCCACTCACTGATAAGTCGAAGGGTCATAACCCCCGTGAAGTCCTTGAATGCACTCGTCCTCGGGATAGGTATCACCTATATGCGAAACAACTATAAAAACGTTAATTAAAGCACATAACCGACAATTCGAAATAACTTCTCATACGATGCTCAATTTGGGTATATGAATATACCACAGTGAACTACTCGACGTCACGGACGTCGAGGTATTTTTAGAAAAAAATTTCGAGGCCGCACGCGCGTCACCTTCTTCCTCCAGTCGCCGGACTGGTTTTGTTGGTCGTCAGAAAACTGGAGATTTTTCAATCTCCTTGTTCTCCGTCATTTCTCCACCATTTTCTATGCATTTTATATCAAAATGAAGCCCTAAGCATGTAGAATCACGTTGTACTAGTTTAAGGCTCTAAAAATTACGAAATCTCACCAAAGAAAAACCAAGAAAACCGGCCAACTTCGAACCCTACAATCCCGACGTCCAAAACCTTCAAACTAAGTACTTTGAGCTTCCTTGGGACCTCACTAAGCTCCCTGTAAGCTTAGAATTCCCTGAAAATCAACAATTCACGTGTGCATGAACAATGACATCAAACTAGGGTTCGGATTTCACGTGATTTCGAAGGTTCTAAGTTCCAAAAATGATACCATTCAACTCAGGAGGTTGCAAGGATGAAGAAACTCACCTTATTGACGTCGATCCGTGATGTTTTGAGGGATTTTGGGTTCTTGTCCGTACGGTTCGAGAGAGAGAGAGAGAGAAACTGAGAGGGAAGAGAGAGAGCACGGGGAAGGAAAGGGTTTGTCCCGTGTGTGTGTGTGTGGTCCACCCAAAACAATTCACTCTTTAATTCCCTAACCACAAATATACACACATCCTTTAATCCAACTTAAATTTTCCAAAACTTGGGAAAATATACATTATTCAAAACATGCCACACACATACCTTAGTAACCGTCAAGGGTACTTTCGTCATTTCACAGCCTCAATAAATAGAATCTCGGGACGGGTTGTGACACTTTCATTCTACATTCATTTTGATTGAGTTGTTTTAAGGATTTTGCAGGAGGACTCTCTTTGGAATGGCCAAATGTTGTTGTTTGTCGGGTGGATGCCTTGGAAGCAGAGTTAATTGCTACTAAAAAGGTATATAAGCTTACCTAGACCTTAATTATCATGTAAGGAAGTAGATAACTATAAAAGTAGCTTCATTATGGTCTATAGTCATATGCCACACCTTTGTGTGACTCTTATCTACCTTTGAAATTGAATTTGGGATTTGATTATTTCAATTAGTTTCTCTGGTTTATATTTCAAGGTTAGCCGGTTTTGTATTTAGCATCAATTAATTGCTTTTTTCTTGGTGAGGACCTAAATGTTTACACTTTCAGTTTAACAAAAAATGATAAATTGAGACAAGAACCTAATAAATCAATATTAGCAAACCCATAAACTTATTTCGTGACTATCACAATATTCTTTCAATATTCTACGTTTTGCTAACAATTATGTTTTCTCTAGGACGTTAAAGTGCATTTTTGGTTTTTAAGTTTTGCCGCCAAATACCAACTGTTTGATTGTTTTTTCTAACCTCTCTGTTCTCAATAATGTTAATGTTTTGTGATACCATTTTTACATCTTTCAAACGCATATTTCACATGTGTGGCTATTGATTGAAATTTGATTTGCCAAGAACTGGAGATGGTCTCGGTTTTAAGGTTAAAATTGAATCATCCATGATTTTAAAAATATGGTATTTCTGATTAAACCTATAATGATGGACGCATAGGTTATACATGCGGATTGTCACATTATTGTAGTTCTCAATTCATTTATGGTAGGTAGTCTTAACTCTTCATCTACAACAACAACAACAAAGCCTTTTCCTACTAAGTGGGGTCGGCTATATGAATCCTAGAACGCCATTGCGCTCGGTTTTGTGTCATGTCCTCCGTTAGATCCAAGTACTCTAAGTCTTTTCTTAGAGTCTCTTCCAAAGTTTTCCTAGGTCTTCCTCTACCCCTTTGGCCCTGAACCTCTGTCCCGTAGTCACATCTTCGAACCGGAGCGTCAGTCGGCCTTCTTTGCACATGTCCAAATCATCGGAGCCGATTTTCTCTCATCTTTCCTACAATTTCGGCTACTCCTACTTTACCTCGGATATCCTCATTCCCAATCTTATCCTTTCTCGTGTGCCCACACATCCCACGAAGCATCCTCATCTCCGCTACACCCATTTTGTGTACGTGTTGATGCTTCACCGCCCAACATTCTGTGCCATACAACATCGCTGGCCTTATTGCCGTCCTATAAAATTTTCCCTTGAGCTTCAGTGGCCTACGACGGTCACACAACACGCCGGATGCACTCTTACACTTCATCCATCCAGCTCGTATTCTATGGTTGAGATCTCCATCTAATTCTCCGTTCTCTTGCAAGATAGATCCTAGGTAGCGAAAACGGTCGCTTTTTGTGATCTTCGCTAGATTGCTCCGGTCATTAGTGTGGATAAGTATATAAATGGATAGAGATAGGAAAGCAAACACAAGATGTACGTGGTTCACCCAGATTGGCTACGTCCACGGAATAGAAGAGTTCTCATTAATTGTGAAGGGTTTACACAAGTACATAGGTTCAAGCTCTCCTTTAGTGAGTACAAGTGAATGATTTAGTACAAATGACATTAGGAAATATTTGTGGGAGAATGATCTCGTAATCACGAAACTTCTAAGTATCGGAGTGTGGTGTCGTCTTGACTTGCCTTATCTGTCTCATAGGTAGATGTGGCATCTTCTCTGGAAGTACTCTTCCTCCATCCAGGGGTGGTATCTTTAACTGGTGGAGATGCACAAGGTAATGTATCAATTTCACTTGAAGCTTACTTGTAGTCTCAGGCTTGGTCAAGCGCGATACAAACCATGTAGTAGGAGTCCCCCAAGTCGCCGAGCTAGGGGGTCTGCTGAAAGAGGTGACAGACAAGGTAAGCAATCAGAGCTCCGACTGATTGTTCACCTTCTCCCCATCTTGCAGCAGCATGAAGGATAAAGAGAAAGAAAATGAGAAGAGATGATATGAGATACTTTTGCTTTTGAAGAAGTAACTTTCCACAGGCTTATTCTTGAACTGAGCTGGAGGGTTTTCTGGTTTCCTCCAGAGTATAAGGCCGACTGAAGAATTTGAGGGTCAAAACAAGTCCATCAAATCTAGAGTACGTTCCACCCTGCTAATATGGGATACTTTTGCTTTTGACAGAGTAATGGATGTATCGGCACGTGTGCTGTTACGCTTGTCTCCACATGCTTCCTTGTATCCTTCGCACTTGCCCTATCTGTTCCTCAAGCAGATGCGGAATCTTCCCTGGAAACATAAGATGTTGAAGATGAGTACTCGAGAGCAATGCCAGGTAAGTAATCAGGTAAGGGGTTCCAGGCAGTCAGTTCCTGGCTGGAAGCTTGATTCCAAGTGCTGACTAATTGCTCTCTTTCTCCTTGTCTTGCAGGTAAAAACAAGGCTAAAGGAAAAGACAGAGAAAAAGCATGATATGGGATACTCTTGCTTTTAACCCTGATGATATGAGATATTCTTGCTCTAGTATAGCTTGTTTGCAGAGGTATTATCGGGGGGAAAGAAAGCTGAATATTTCGAAAGGCTTCGTTGGGAGTGCCCTCTCAGATATGATGAAGGGTTGAGCATTTTTGCAGGTCTGCCTGTCCGTTAGGGATGGAGGTCGACATATATAGGAGTCTCCCTAACAACAAGTAATAATGCTATTCCTTTACCCTGCTTGGTCATAGCACGGTAGTGGGAGCTGCCAGTTTCACATGTTTTAACTCTGTCAGAGCACTTTGAAAAAGTGGTCTGTGGTATCTGGCTCTCGAGATTCGGAGAGAACGATGCCTCTTCGATTTTTGAGAAAGCAATCATGCTGGGGGTCTGGCTCTCGAGATTCGTAGAGCAGTGTCTCTTCGATTTTTGAGGAAGTAATCATGTTGGGAGTCTGGCTCTCGAGATTCGGAGGGCGGTGCCTCTTTGATTTTGGAGCAAGCAATCCTGTTGGGAGTGTTGTCTCGAATGTGAGTAAAGGTTGGGCATGTTTGCTAGTCTACCTTGCCACGAAGCACAAAGGTTGACACACAGGGACTTTCCAATTATCCAGCAATGGTATTGTTCCTTTACCCTCTCTTCGCTTTTGAGAAAGTAGTCATGTTGGGAGTCTGGCTCTCGAGATTCGGAGGACGGTGCCTCTTCGATTTTGGAGCAAGCAATCTTGTTGGGAGTGTTTTCTCGAAAGTGAGTAAAGGTTGGGCATGTTTGCTAGTCTACCTTGCCACGAAGCACAGAGGTTGACACACACAGGGACTTTCCAATTATCCAGCAGTGGTACTGTTCCTTTACCCTTGTGGGTAATAATATGGTAGCTAGACCTTCAAAATTTATGTGTCTAAAACTTTGTTAGTGCTGTTTCTTTGCTATTCTTTTACCTTTCTTGGTCAGAGCGATGTAGTGGGAGCTACAAGCTTCACGTGCTCAACTTTGGCAGAGAACTTTGGCAAAGTTATTTGTGGTACCCATGAGCTATTGTTGCGTGTGGGAAGTGGGTGATTGAACAGTAAGATTCATGTGCTTTCTACTTCACCAGAAGCCTTCGACAGAATGCCCATAATTTCTGCAAAGCTGAGTGTGCGTGTGACAGGTGTTGATAAGGCTAGAAAAGTAGGTGCCTCTTCGATTTCTGAGATCGGCCCTCGTGGTCTCTGAGCAGCCCAGCTTTTGAGAAAGCGAGCGCCTCTTCGATTGATTCGGAGAACGATGCCTCATCGATTTTTGAGAAAGCAATCATGCTGGGGGTCTGGCTCTCGAAGATTCGGGGAGCAGTGTCTCTTCGATTTTTGAGAAAGTAATCACGTTGGGAGTCTGGCTCTCGAGATTCGGAGGGCGGTGCCTCTTCGATTTTGGAGCAAGCAATCTTGTTGGGAGTGTTTTCTCGAATGTGAGTAAAGGTTGGGCATGTTTGCTAGTCTACCTTGCCACGAAGCACAGAGGTTGACACACAGGGACTTTCCAATTATCCAGCAATGGTACTGTTCCTTTACCCTCTCTTCGATTTTTAAGAAAGTAGTCATGTTGGGAGTCTGGCTCTCGAGATTCGGAGGACGGTGCCTCTTCGATTTTGGAGCAAGCAATCTTATTGGGAGTGTTTTCTCGAATGTGAGTAAAGGTTGGGCATGTTTGCTAGTCTACCTTGCCACGAAGCACAGAGGTTGACACACACAGGGACTTTCCAATTATCCAGCAGTGGTACTGTTCCTTTACCCTTGTGGGTAATAATATGGTAGCTAGACCTTCAAAATTTATGGGTCTAAACTTTGTTAGTGCTGTTTCTTTGCTATTCTTTTACCCTTCTTGGTCAGAGCGATGTAGTGGGAGCTGCAAGCTTCACGTGCTCAACTTTGGCAAAGTTATCTGTGGTACCCATGAGCTATTGTTGCGTGTGGGAAGTGGGTGATTGAACAGTAAGATTCATGTGTTTTCTACTTCCCCATAAGTCTTTGACAGAATGCCCATAATTTCTGCAAAGCTGAGTGTGCGTGTGACGGGTGCTGACAAGGCTGGAAAAGTAGGTGCCTCTTCGATTTCTGAGATCGGCCCTCGTGGTCTCTAAGGAGCCCAGCTTTTGAGAAAGCGAGCGCCTCTTCGATTTCTGAGATCGGCCTTCGTGGTCTTTGAGCAGCCCAACTTTTGAGAAAGCAAACGCCTCTTCGATTTCTGAGATCAACCCTCGTGATCTCTAAGCAGCCCAGCTTTTGAGAAAGCAAACGCCTCTTCGATTTCTGAGCAGGCGCCTCTTCGCTTTCTGAAGCTCCGTCGAGTGCAGATTTTTATAGAGGCTGGCATTAAGTTCCAAAGCACACTTGAATCTCCACCAGTAGAAGCTTCATTCTTGCACTTCTAAGATCTTGATTTGTCCGACCTCTTCTCTATTCAACACCTTTGAAAAATGTCTGGCCCCTCCGACCGTCGTTTTGACTTGAACCTTGTTGAAGAGGCAGCCCCGCCTTCTCCAGACAACATATGGCGCCCATCCTTCGTCTCCCCTACTGGTCCTCTTACCGTTGGGGATTCCGTGATGAAGAATGATATGACCGCTGCGGTGGTGGCCAGGAACCTTCTCACTCCCAAAGATAACAGACTACTTTCCAAACGGTCTGATGAGTTAGCTGTTAAGGATTCGCTGGCTCTCAGTGTTCAGTGTGCAGGTTCTGTGTCTAATATGGCCCAACGCCTATTTGCTCGAACCCGCCAAGTTGAATCCTTGGCGGCTGAAGTGATGAGTCTCAAACAGGAGATTAGAGGGCTCAAGCATGAGAATAAACAGTTGCACCGGCTCGCACATGACTATGCTACAAACATGAAGAGGAAGCTTGACCAGATGAAGGAAACTGATGGTCAGGTTTTACTTGATCATCAGAGATTTGTGGGTTTGTTCCAAAGGCATTTATTGCCTTCGTCTTCTGGGGCTGTACCGCGTAATGAAGCTCCGAATGATCAACCTCTGATGCCTCCTCCTTCTAGGGTTCTGTCCAGTACTGAGGCTCCAAATGATCCCCCTCCGGTGCCTTCTCTTTCTGGGGCTCTACCGACTGCTGAGACTTCTCCTAAGCAACCTTTGTGAAGGCTCCATCTTGTGTGTTTATTTTGACTCATGTATATGTACCAATTTTTTTATTTTAGTGATCAGGCAAAAATTACAGAGGAGCTTATTTGTTGGAGATTTAAAGAGTAAAACTTAGCAGCGCGGTACCGCTGGAAATGGTAATTGTTAATCAGATTTCCACTCTTTTTTCCACATACTTTGGTTCAAAAGCAATATCATTTGAATGATGAAACATTAAGTTAGCATCTCAAGCGAACGATATTTGCCACTTCCCTTTTAAATGAATTTTAAGATCAGCTTCAGTCTATGTTTGTTTAATTAACAATGTTGTATCATTCCTTATATAGTTTCACAAAGATCGGGCATAATTCTTGCTGAACTTGGTTTGGTTTTCTTTTGTTTAGGGATAGATTGAGTGAATCACAGTTCGACCAAGTCTTGAATGATGAATTGAGCCAGATCATTGAGGTCTCTTTGTCAAGTTAAATTTTCATTATACTTTTTATTTGTAATGCTCAGTTCTTCTCTCAAACATTGCTTATGAAGTGAATGAATTTGCATAAGTTTGAATAAATTTCTAATCCCGCAGCAACGAGTTATATATACTAAAACTTAGTTGAGTTTTAGCACTGTTCAGAAATAGTAAAAGGGCGGAAATGCCCTTGATTTGTTTGGGGTTTAGGTGCTGCTGAATTACTTTGTACAGTTAAATGTCATTTTTGCCCCCCACTAGGTGGGCTGTCTTCAGCTGCCTGAAAAGTCCTAGGCCTTTTTTATCTCGCCTGTTGAGGGATTTGGTTTATTTTCTCGCCGTTCTCATCAATTTTCTACCTACCTCAAACTGCTCTCTCATCTTTTCATCTCTCTCCCAAATTATCTGTGCGAAATCAGTGAGCCTATTTTTGGTTGCTGGAAAAAAGTTTGGTTGCTACAAATTTCTTGCGTTCAAAATTCCTCATTCGCTACGAATTTTGTTCCTTTTTTGGATTTATCAGAATCAATTTTTTTGTGTCAGAGGTATACAGTCCTGGGTGAGTTTTTTTTTTTGTTTACTTCTTTGGTATCGTTGTTTTAATTTTTTTCTTGGTGGTTTTCGATGTTCAGATGCTTTTTGCGTATGAATTTTGGATGGTTTTTGTACATGAATTTTGTTTTTATAATATTAGGTATTTTGTTTCTATGCTTAGATTTTAATCTTTTTTGGGGTAAAATATTTAATTACATCATGTCATGGGTTTTTATGGGTTCAATTGGCAGTTTTGATTTTCTTTCTCTTTTCTTTCTATTTTGTTTCCATTCCACTGCTGTCTCTCAATTTGTGTTGCCTTTCTGATTCTGGGTTCCGCGTGTGTCAAACGATAGAAACCGGCTGAAGTCATTTTTCTGAGGCTTGGTTCTGCTCCTTGGGTCACTGACCTGGAGATTAAATTATCAAAATTCGGTGTTTCCACGTTGCCGATTCCAATTAGTCGTTGCTAAGAGGATCAAATTGGTGAATTTCGAAACGAAAACGTTTTTTCCTAATTGATTTCCTTTCTTTTGCCTATTATTGTTGGCTTTAATGCATGTTGAATTTTTATTTTCAATAATTTTGCTTATGTGGTTTGCGATTTTTGTTCTTCATTTTGTTCAGATTCTGAGGCTTTGATTTTGTTGTTTTTAGGTTTTTTTGCTTTCCTAATTTTGAGTGAGTTATTTGTGATCATTTTGCATTTATCAAAATTAAACTAGGGGAAATTGGTCTCTGTGTTGTGCCAAATCTTTACAGATTACATTTGGCTTAGTTTTGTGGATTTTATTTGGTCTGTGTAGCTATTTTTTGCCTGATTTTTCTTAATCTTATATGCTTGGGTTGTAAATTGTGGCTTTCCAGTATTTTGATTTTGTGGTCTTTAACTAATACACAATTTGCTCTGAGGTAGAAGGAAAAGAAAGTCAAGTATACGAATGAGTTAGAAAGTAAGGTGTGACTATTTTGAAGCACCTGTGATGCTGCTGTTATATTTTGGGTACGTTTTCTGTCCTGCTTTTTTCCAGTTTGGAGATGCACTGATAATTGTTGGATTAAAATGGATTTGTATTTTTTGGGAAGAAATGAGAGGAGTTGTTGGAATTTTAGAAAGCTTGTGTTTCTACCTTTTATGTGACAGAGGGAATACAGACAGGGAGAGGAAGAGAGAAAACATTAGTTTAGATTGCAATTTTAAAAGTTTTTATGTTGTTAGTGTTGGAACCAATGTATTTTGTTGGGAAATTGATAATATTTAAAGTTATTAGGATTTTGGAAAGATTTGTCTTTCTCAGTTTTATCTGCCTGAGGGAACACAACTCTTACATATATGATTTCAAGTTGTCCCTTTAGAAATTCAAGCTCTATTGAATACATGAGGTGTAAGAAACTGTTTGGGATATTTTCAAGTTTTTCTGATTCCTGAAAAAAAAAAGCATGCTTAAGAGTAATTATATTTTAATTTTTATTGAATTCAGGTAACCATCTTTAGGTTTTTTGCTTTGATTTGAAGAATTTCTTACCCAGGAAAGCCAAGGCTTCCTGATGAGTTCTTTGGGTTCCATATCTGACATCTTTGTTTTGTTCAAATTTGGGGCGTTTGTGATTTGGGATTTATGTACTGTCTTATCAACTCTTAATGTTGAACTAGGTAGCTATTAATGTTGGATTAATCAAACTTGGGCATCAGTTCATATGTTTTTCAATGTTTCTATTCCGATTTAATAGCGTGATTTAATAGTGTGATGCTGATTTAGGCTATAAATTCAGAGGCTTTTGAATAGCCAAATTTGCAACACGGATTTCAGAGGCTGTTGTATCATTAGCTGAAATATGCTACATATAATCCTTAGACATCATTTTTCACTTTGATTAAGATGTGTGCCTACCTTCTTAGTTTTTACCATTGTAGATGCGGGTGGTATAAATTTTTACTTAAAAAATTGAACTCGAAATGAAAACCCAGGTGAAAAAGCATGGAAACAACTCTTGCGTAGAAATGACTTCTGGGAATGAATTTTCTTGAGATTTGATCCCAGCTATTTGATAAGAGTCAGGTTTTATAACTTAAACCATTTCCAATAACTATTTGGTAATAGGATGAATAATTAATTGTCAAAAGTGAGTTCATATATATGAAATCCTGTTTAAGCTTACTTTTTCCCTTATGAATATTTCTTAATCTGATAGGCTGATTCTTGGGTTATTGAGAATTTTGCCTCGGTAGCAAAATATCTATATGCCCAAATTATGGGACACGGGTGTAGTTCTTATTTTGATAATTTTTTCTTCTTTCTCTCTTTGATACTTTTCATGTGTATTCACTTGGGAAAAATACTTAAGTCTTAATGATATTAATGTTGCAGGATATAATTTCTTCTGCAGCCATAAAATTTGTAAACAGATTTCCAAGTTTACAAGGAGGTTGCTGGGTTGAGTTTGGTTACACAGATAACGCTGCAGTATACCATACAAAGTTTTTTTTTCTTTCCTTTTGCCCCATTTTTGGGATATTGGTTACAAAATCCGTTTTTAGCATAGGTGTGAAATTTACAGTAGGGGTTAGTAAGTTAATTAGTTAATTTCATTCTCAATGTGCACAAATGTTGTACTTGCATTAATTCATTTTCTTTGTATCGAAATTGAATAAATCTAATTCTCCTTGATATCCACTCATTCTGCTAAGATATTTATGTTGTTTCTCTCATGCTCTATCACAATATATCAGTTACTTTAATAAATTTAGTTCTAAACGTTTTCTCTACATAGATGATCTTACAAAACTCAGTGATGTACTCATCTAATTTTTAAGTTTTAAGTCTTTTTAATGAATAGTTTGGTATTTAGGCAGCTTTGATCTTTGATTTTAAATATGAGATTTTGTCTGATTCTTTCTGATCCTCAGTTTCTATTGTCATTTACGGTTTAATGGACATTCTTGAATCACATTGGTTAACACCAAACAAATGGTATGTGTCATATTTCTCTTTTTCTATTCCTTTACTTTCATACATAGTTTTGTTTGAATGCCATCATTTTCACAGCCCCTTATACACCTTTGATTCAAACTTCATCGTTCTTTAAATATTTATATATATTATGCTCACACGTTTTGTAATCCCGCAAGAACGCGCAGGCACTATTTTTAGTAAGCAACTAAAGTTGTAGTGATCAACCCAAGTGTGACAAAGCAAGCCATCAGATTGGCTTTTGTGGTGATCGGATTGGACTCCTGCAAGTTTGTTTCTTTGAGAAAAAGAGAGTTCCTAAAAGGGATTCTTCCTAAGGCTAATAAATCGATACCTCAGAGAAGTGGCAGAGTTAATTCTAAGTTTGAAAGCTTTTTGGGATCAAAGGTTTCTAGTCTAAAGCTTGGAAAAGTTTTGGACAGAGAAAGGGTTTCTGATCTAAAAATGAAAAGGCTTTTCTTCTTGGAACTTGTTCTGATCGGTTGTTAGATTTGATTTACCCTCGTCTTCATGCCTTGGCTTTCTTCTTTACATGGAGAACAAATTTTAGTCTAAGAAAAAGTCACCTGCTGAACAATCCACCGCCCGAAATCCACTTGCAATGAAAAAGAGCTGCAATTTGATTGATTAAGTAAGGGATTTAGCACAAAGTCATCGCCTAAAATATCTTCTCCCCATCCTGTCACCGCCCAAAAAAAAAGGAAGATTGTCAATAATATTTGGCTATTCAAATGATAAGTAGGAGTTCTTATTCAAAATTGCTCATTATTGATTCATAAAACTTCGTGTTTATGATCAAAACAGTTTTTATTATAATGATATAATCACTCTATAAAGATCACTTCTACAAAAAATGAATGGGCAATTCAATCTCCTCAGGTGAATAATAACTACCTTTAATGAACAATAATTGTTTTTTGCATCTCCACCACTAAATTGAATAGCCCAAGCAATTCGTATTAAAATATTAATATTTTTATTTTATAAAATAATAAAAAATAATTTTATTTGTAATTTCGGATAAGATTTTTAACCGATCTCATAACGTCACGTGTCATTATCTCCAATTCCGTCGCACCATGTGTTGTTACTTGTTTAGAATCGTTGAGACTAGATTTTCGATAAGATTTTTAACCAATCTCGTCGCTTCACATGTCACTATCGTTTAGAATCTTTGAGGATAGATTTCGATAAGATTTTTAATTTTTTTTTTTTTGGAGTTTTTTTAAGTTTATTTAGTGTTGTTGTAGGCTTATTTGACTGAACTGTATTTAGGACTAGAGAGGGAGAGAGGCCAATGGCAAGAGAGAGAGAAGATAGAGATCTAATTGTGAGATGTGTGTTGTATCATTCCATTGTGCCTTTATTTATAGTAATAGGATAGGTTAAATCATTACCCTAATAGGATTACAACTCTAATAGGATAATAACTACTAAAGAGAATATTAAAAGATATCACTACATACACTAGGATTTGCACAATCACATTCCTGTTTTAAATATGACTGCAACACTCTCCATTGAGTGTGGAAATACTCAAACAAAACATCACATCAGATCTTCAGCAGATAAAGTAGAACAGTTGATGAAGTCGGCGGCACAACGGGTGAATGCGAGTCTCAAATATAAAGAAAGTATGGATTGGTAGTAAAACTCACAAAATCTCGCTATGGTAAAACCTAAGTCATGTGAAAACCCATAGACTAAGGAGAAAAGTGAGAAGTATGCATAATGTTTAAAACAAACGTCAAACAGGACAAAATTAGTGAACTCAATAGAGTATGACCATCCCAGGATGGGTGCCTCATCAAAACCTCGTTAGGTAGCAAAAACCCCGTGGGAAAAATGCTCCTAATCGTAGGAAAAAGAGTACATAAAGATCAAGTGAGTATGCTTCAGAATACTCCCATTGAGTTAGACATAACTTTCAAATAAGAGAACTATAAGGAATTCAACTCAAATAATTTACGCATTGATTCCTTGGACGAGCTTCTTAAAAATAGACTTAGGCAATGACTTGGTAAAGAGATTGGACAGGTTGTCTTGGGAACGTATTTGCTTGACTTCAATGTTCTGATGCTATTGCTGGTGAGAATAAAAGAACTTCGACGCTATGTGCTTAATGTTGTCTTCCTTGATGTATCCCTTATTTAACTGCTCAATACATGTTGCATTGTCTTCAAAGATCGTCGTAGGAAAGTCAACGACGGTAGTAAGACTACTAGTGCTTTACATATATTCCATGACTGTTCTCAACCAAAAGCACTCATGCGATGCTTTATGTAGGGCGAGGATCCCAGCATGGTTTGAAGAAGTCGCTGCTAGCGTTTGCTTGGTAGACCTCCAAGATATAGCGGTGTCTCCAACAGTAAAAACATAGCCTATTTGAGAATGTGCCCTAGTCAGACAGATGTCCAGCATCTGCTAACCAACGAGGCGAGAATTAACCCGAAGACTGAAGGGGGTGGAAGCTCATTTTAAGGATTCATGGGTGTAGAACAAACCCAAATTCATTGTACCCTTGAGGTAACAAAAAATGTCTTTAACACAATTCCAGTGTTTACCTGTAGGCGCATTGTTGTATCTAGCCAAAAGATTAACAGCGAAGGAGATGTCAGGTCTAATGCATTAAGCTAAGTACAATAAAGCTTCAATTGCACTTAGGTATAGAACTTCAAGCTCCAAAATCTCTTTCTCATCCTTCTTGGGACATAAATGATCTTGTTTAGCATATAGAGTTTGAACAACCATGGAGTACTCGAAGATTTCGCTTTATCTTCATTAAAACGTCGCAACATATTTTGGGTGTGGTTCAATTGATGTACTAGGATTCCATCTGAACAATGCTCGATCTTCAGGTCAAGATAATATCGAGTTTTCCCAAGATCTTTCATCTTAAATTTTGATTTCAAGTGAACGACAATTTCCTCAAGCTCTACGAAAGTTCCAATGAGGTTTATGTCGTCGACATAAACTGCAACAATCGCAAATCCAGAATGTGACTTATTTATTAACATGCATGGGCATAGTTCGTTGTTCTCATAACCCTGACTTGTCAAATATTCACTTAGACGGTTATATCACATCCGCTCGAATTGTTTCAATCTGTAGAGTGATCTCCTTAATCTAATAAAGAGAGTGTTCCATGATCTAGAACTATTTGAGTGTTCCATGATCTATAACTATTTTAACTGATCAATTGAAGTTTTTTCATGTAGATTTTCATATCTAAATCCTCATAGGGATACACAATTACCATGTCCATAAGCTGCATATTCAGTTTTTCGGAAACTACCAAACTGATAAGGTAGCAGAACGTTATGACGGCCATTTTGGGGGAATACGTCTCCTTGTAATCAATCCCAATGTGTTAAGAAAAGCCTTACGCTACGAGGCGTGCTTTGTGCTGCACTATTTCATTCTTCTTATTACTCTTCGTTACCAAAACCCACT